TCATATTAATTACTTGTGATTCAATGTAATAATGTGCAAAGCCAAATTGCTTCTTTGGTACCTTTGGCAATTGCTTTGGTTTCAACAACTATTGAAGATGTAGGAAGTGTTGGTTACTTTTTAGAAGACCAAATAATAGATCTTCTTACAAATTTGAAGAAAAAGATTAAAATAGACTTATGGTTGTCAATATCATTTTCTTAATCTTTGTTAGTAAATCCAATAATAGTAGGAACTTCTCTTCAAAGCTATATAATATTGTTGTCGTATGGCGTGATTTGTAATTTAGAAATATATAGGATATCTAGCTATAGAAAGTTTAGTTTTAATTTATTAGATAAGATTTAATAAGTGATCTATTTCTCTTTTAACTTACATACAAAATCTTAGCTTTTAAAACGTCTATACTTTATATAAAATGCCCAAATTATAGCAAAATCTCTCAAAACACATTTTTTTGCAAACGATTTCTTCTTCCCAAAATCTATAAATTCATATTTCTTGATCTAATTATTCAATTTCTCTCAAATTTTTATATAACATAGCTATTATCCTTAAAATTTATCATATAAATAAAAATAAACCATAACATTGTTACGGATCTTCTGACATCTTAGAAACCTTAGTAGGTGCTCTAAACCCTAACTTACAAGTACCTGAGTACTATTTTCTTCATATCTCAAAACTCCAAAATTCAAATGCTACAAAAATTTTGCACAAAATTTATTAACATGACTATACACATTCTTGAAAATTTTGAGCCAAAATTTCATCAAATTGCTCAAGATATAGGTCAAAACTTAACCAATAGTGAATAGGGTCACTTACTACCCCTGGATTTACAAGCACTAACTTTAACCTCCAATATCTCCTTCATTCCAACTTGGAATCTATCAAAAAAAATATGCCAAAAGTGTAGCCAAAAGAGTGTTCTCTCCAATTCTAGTTGCTGATTTTCTATTGCTTTTTGTACCCATGCATTATGTCCAAAAGAGTGGCAATAGGTACAAAATCAACACCTTAACTTTGAGTGCCTATATCTCTTTCATATAAACTCCAAATCATACAAAATTTTCACCAAAATCATAGTTAAAAACCTAAATTTGCTAGTCTTAGCCTCCAAAGTTCAAATGCCTCAAAAGAATAAACCTAATCCCTAATAAGGCTTTACGCAGCCTCCTTGAAGTTCATTAGGCATGATTTTGGATCAATAGGAATAGAGATTATTATCATCCACCTCTATTCATCCATATGGACGCCTTAACTATTCTTTTTACTGCGAAAAATCCCTCTCCAACCTTTTTTATAAGATCTACATAATATACGCCCTAAACACCAAATAAAAGAAACAAAATAAGACTTCAAAGGTCATCAATGTCTAACAAAGGTGACTTTAAATATGTAAAATTTACTATCAATCAAAATTAATCTTAAAAACTACTATCAAAAGAAAATAAAGTTATGTAAATTTTAATAATAGTTCTTTTAAACAGCTTCTTTTTAATAATCTAATTATATTCTAAAATAAATTAAAATCCATTAACATGGCTCTTACCATGTTACTTAGTAAATTTTATATCAAACATTTAAACACAACATTTTCACATAGTAGTTGAACCACAACACAACACCATAATTAATTGTGCCCATTAGGTATATCAAAATATTTTTTGCCACTTCTCAATGAAATATATGGAGATCATATATATATATATATATATATATATATAATTATGGATATAGTACAAACAATATTTTTGTTGTAGAATTTAAAAAATAGATGAGTTTTTTTAGTAACTTAGAATAAAGTCCTTTGTCCATTAGCTAAGTTTTTTTTTCTTTCTTTCTTTTTAAATATCTTTTGGTATTGGAACTAATAAATTATAAAAATTCTTTATTCTAAATTCTTAAAAAAATAATTTAATATAGTTTCTTTAAGTAAAAAAAACTGCCTTTGTTCAATGTAATTAGTAGAAATGGTATTACATCTACTATGAGCAAAGATGGAATTGGTGTTGTGCATGAGTTACAAAATCTATTTTTATAAAATAGTAATATTCTTTTATTTCCTTATGATATCCAACAAGATTTATTTATTTATTTATTTATTTATTTGTATGTGACTATAATTTGTCTTGTTTTTCCTTGTCAATGAATATATAGACTTTACATCCATAAATGCAAATGTAATCAAGAATTTTCTTCTGTTCAAATAGCATCAAAAAAGATTTTTTTTGAATTTGAGTAGATAGGCTTCTTATTAAGTAAAAAAATAATAATATTAACTACCTCAATTTATAAAAATTGTGGTGCACTAGCTTTCAAATGCATATTGTATATCATTTTTAATAATTTTTTAGTTATCCTTTTTATTATTCTATTATGTTTGGTAGTCATGGCATTAGTCAATTGACATCTAATTCCACAAATGAAGAATAATTCTAAAAATTCATTGGATAAAACTTGCCTCCATGATTTCATCTGATAATTATAATCTTAGCTTTTAGATCCAATTCTATCATGAATTTGAATGCAAGAAAGAGTTAGAATGCTTGTTATTGTTTTTGCAAGAATCAAATCCAAATATATATATATATATATATATATATATACTAAAATCATCTACTATGGCCATAAAGTAGTGTGATATGCATAGTAATTGTATTGATAGAAGACCATTGAAATCTATATAAAGTAGTTCTAGAATTGAGGTAGATCAAATTTCACTATGGTGTAGAATCAATGCCCAAGATTACTTTTTAAGCTGAAAGGTTTTGCAAGATTGTTAAATTAATGTTGTAGACTAAAAATTATCCAGATTACAGTAGAGACCATTATTATTATTATTATTATTTTTTTTTTACATCATTTGTAAATCTATGTTTACCGTATTATTGGAGTTTCATGTATCAATCTACTTTGAGCTTACATACATTTGCAAGTCCTTTGGAACATATTTCCTTTTAGTCTTCTCATTTTTCGCAATAGTTGCAACATTCCAAAATCTAAAAATTGATATTATAGTTGGAAGGTCTTCTTAGGAGACTTGCTAGATTTTGCATTGGATATAGTCTATTGTTTCAAAAATAAAGTGATTTATTAAAGCCACTTTGTCTATTACCCTTGACCTTTACCTTCACAATACGTCTATTTTCTTCAAGCACAAGATTAATTTGTAATTCATTTAGAGGTAGATATTTGCCTATATTGGTATAATATTGAAGAAAATGATTGTAGTTGTTGGGTACATTCTTTACCACAATTTGGACTAAGCCAAAGTCCACAATAGTGACCCCTATTGCATATAGTTGCACCAATATGCTCTTGAATATGTTAAAATATTATTTGAAGCATATCTATTTGCTTAAAGCAATGAAAGAAAGTTTGTTCTTTAAGTGATATTTCTAACTTTTTGACTTTACCTTATAGGTTTTCTAAAAATAATCCCACAATTCCTTGGAATGATAAAAGCTAGTCAAATTTGCCATTAGTTTTGGTCAAATAGAGTAGACTAAGATATTCAACACAATCTCATTCTACTTCTCTATGTTAGACTCCTAAGCTCTCTAGCCAATTTTGATTGGATTTAGAATACTCTACAACTATTCCTTCTTCACTAAAGTTACATAATATTTCCAGACATTGACATTAGATGATCATGTTAGTCTAACTGCCTCAAGAATGGGTTGTTCTTTGGCATGTAGCTAGACTATGAGCAAGTGAGCAGGTAACCGTGTCAATATATATATATATATATATATATTCTAATACATAAAGTAAAGAAGGAAAAGCAAGCAGTTCAAAAGTTTAAAGAGATGAGAGAGGATTGAAGAGTGAGATAGACACGATAGAACATGATAACATGACAGAACAAAATAATATAAGATTATTATATATAAAAATGAGAACCATTGCATTGAACATACAAGCACACACAGAGAGACCTTGTACAATCTCTTATACTCGATGTGGGATAACCTGACAGTCTGGCTGCTGGTGACTATATTTTTAATTATCTAACCAGTAATTTATTCAAGGTGAAAGAGTAAATATTCCAACAATTAGTCCTTAGCCCACGAATTGTTCAAGCCTAATTCTTCCACGCATCACACGGTAAAGCCATACTATGCTTTCTTCCGCACTGTGGTAACTGCAGGCGTGCTCTTGGCAGAAGAGGTCGGATTCACCGACTTCAGCTTCAAAGGTCCAAGGTTCTCTTTCTTCTTCGACTCAGTTTCCACTGCTCCAACATCTTCAACCTACGTATTATTTATCTAACCAAAAGTACTGTCAACCTTCCTTTGGGCCTAAGCTTTAACTATTGCTGCACTTAAACCTCCGATACCCTCACTTCGATCGCTGTGTAAGCAGATAGTATATAGCTTTTAGATTTTCTATGTATCATGACCACCAAAAGGCAACCGGAATGCACGTTCACTATGAACTCTCAAGGTAATCCCGGACTCTCTTTACTCGTGATTAAGAGCTCAAAAACTGGCGGGAAAGTACACCGCAATGGAAATGTAAGAACTAAGCTCTGAATCATGAGGATATGTGAGGAAGATTGAGAGGCCAGACAGCTGGCTACGCTTAGAGATAAGGGCTTTCAAAAATGTAGGGATACTCCAAAAAGAACCTGGTTTAAAAGCTGATTTAACTGTGACCGTGACATGCAAACATTCATTTTATTCTCTGCATATCTTTCTCACATTCTTCTTCTTTCACGTTGCCAAAATGTACAAAAGTATTAGTTTTGCGAAAGAAGCTTGGATACGGTCTTATACGAAATCAAAACATTGTATGCATTAGCGTATTTAAACGAGTTCACAAAAATCCAAAAAAATATGACATTTTCTAATCATCGTACTTTTCATCATTACATACCCACAATGCTCATCATAATGGGGAAAAAGTAACAAACAGCGAGAGAAAAACGTCCATCCAAGACCACTTCGTATCTACTTGAATGAACAAGACCAGCAACATCGGTACATGGATGAGACACGCCAAAGTTGTTTTAGACTGTAATGCAAAATCAATCCATATTGAGACAAAAAATCACATCAACATTGTGTGATACCTGGCAATTCGATTTCTCCCATCCCCATCCCTGCAAAACTAATCACCTACGATTGCCACGAAGGTTCAAAACAAACGAGAAGTTACGACATTAAGCTTCACTTAGAAGGCCAACTGCAGCCATTCAAAGGTATTGTAGTCAAAACTCTATCGCGATCAACTCCTAGAACCATCGGAATTTCTCCACTGCATTAGACTCAAAGCAATTCCTTTCAAGTACTCATTAAAAGTACTTGGCCATCCCTCCACGTCCACAGACGCGGACAACAACCACTGATAATCAGATAGAGCTTTGTCACTTAATGGCTCCAGGAACTCACTTTTAGCGACAATTTCGTCCGGAGGCATGCCTTGAACTATATTTGAGTCCAAGGTCACCACTGTTTTCGGCTTTTTCCCTGATTGCGAAGCGCCTGTCTCAAGAAAGGTATTCTCCGAAATCTCCGTTTCACTTTTCTCAGACCAAGTGAGAGGAGAGGCACCAACGAACACATCATTTGCAAACGTCGTGGCTCTTGCAGGTTGCAAGCAAAAATCAAGCCATTGAAAGACCAAAGGAGATGGACCTCGAACACGACCCCCTACGTTCTCTGCTTTTTCGAATGTAGTTGTTGCTGGAATTGCCTGCATCATCAGATCCAGAACAAGTGCCAACTCAGAGTCCAAAGTGAAGATACTTCTTCCTCTCCGATAAACGGAACATTGCCTTTTGACGACATAAATAATATTAGCGTTGACCACTAGCAGCTTCTGCTATGATGGCACTCTTGACGATGGACGTTCAAGTTTAACACTAACTGTTAGATTAAGAGAAACAAACCAAGTGTCATCAACGAATCTCATCCGAGTTTTAAAGATAATTCTTTTTGAAATGATGTAGATAGAGTTAGTCAGGCTCACCCAGAGGTCTGCCCATAGGCTTGTTCCTGATTCTGGAGCATAAACACTGATGTTTGAAGCACGCTTTGAATATGGGATGATATCACTTGACCACCCAACTGCTACCCAAACATCTCCGGCACTCATTGCCTTCAGGTAGTCGTTGTCATCAAACAGACGAACCTGTGACTCAATACAGTCAAAGTTGAGTAATTAAGAAGAAATCGACAGACAACACCGTTCATTTCAAAGTTACACTAATAACAAGGGATCTAGATTATTCTCTAGCAAACAACTGTCTGGTAAGGAGAACCTTAAATCACTAACACGAACATAGGACCAGCCTAGTGAGGTTGAAAGAATACCTGCTTCTGCAAAGCAAGAAAACGCTCTTTTACAGCCTCTCTGCCTCCTGGAACATCTGCATCAAAATCATTGGTATTGTACGAAGCCCCTAAAGACTTGAGAACAGCACCAACTACCTCGCGTGGAGAGTCGACCATTGCTATCCTCCCGGCAAGTTGTGGCTGGAAAAGGTCTTTCCAATCCTGTCTCCAAAAGGAAGTTGCATCAGAACCCAATTACCATAAACAATAAGGAAAAATACATATAAAAGTGCCCCACGGTATGCACGGTACAATAGTACCAACGATGCGTAGCATAAGAGTGACATAACCACAAACTCATGAACTAGCAACCCAACATAACAAAGTTGTAGAAAGCACGTTACGCTCAGGATCGAGAAAGTTACTAACCCTGATAGGGGAGATGCCATTCCTTTCCAACTTATCCTTCTTGAAGGCAAAAACAAGACTTCCCCACCTATAGGGAACTCCCCATACTAAACCCTGAGGGTTAATAATACCTTCGGGGTCTCTCCTGATAAAGTTCTGTTCGGGAGCATCAACCACTTAATTAGTTCAGTAGACATCTCAAGGTGATGATGTATATGACAAATCTATTGTCGTAGAATATGTGAAGGTATGTACACAAACTGGAACAACGTCGTCAACCACGCATGCTTACCAACAAGAAACCAACTCATCAAAAAAAAAAGTCAAAAACAAGAAAAAATATGTGAGGAATCAGGGTTACAGTCTAAACACAGCAGTAGATAACAGAAGCATCACCACATGCCACTATACCTGCCACTTAGGATGCAATCGGTTGAACCAATCAAACTGTTCAGCGTTCCTAATAGGATCTAGCAACCCTCCTTGTACTGCCGTAGCCAACCAAGAGTCACCAACAGTCACGAGGTCAGCCGCCATGGCAGATTTAGGTGTGATTTGACTGTTTTCCATCGATACAGCAAGTTCGGCAAGAATGTCACTCAAACTTCCTTTAAACTCCGCTGACAACTTCGCATTCTTTCCCTGACTCATTAGAAACTCCTGTACGGCATGCATAAAGATGAATTAATTAAGGTAAAAACTTGGGGAAAAAGAAGCGAGAAGTATCCAACCAGTGTGTGAAGATGTGAAACATACAGCAAAAGTTGTGACTACCTTGAGCCAGGCAGGGGGAACTGAACCTCGCAGGCCCACAATCCGAAGGGGCACTGTCAAAGCATAAGGCTTCGCCTTCCACTCCTCAAATGCCTTCTTGAGTTCTTCATCTTCCGTGTCCCCGCCTGGTTCCCTGTCCCCTTCAGCCTCCGCTGGCAACCATCCATGATTTGAAAACCAGATGAGCAAGGTTGATCCTTTACGATACCACCATAGCTAACCCTAAGAACAGCGTCCATTCCTTGTTCAAATAGCTCATTAAATAACTCACGTAGTCTTGTCATTACAATATCTCCTAATACCGTAAAGCAGATTGTTCTGAATGCATCTTCACGTTTTTCTAACATTCAATCATGACCCGATACGACAGCCAACAGGCCAAGAGAGATAGTTACCAGATTCAATTTCTCCACTGCCAGAGAGTAATTCTGCAGCCGCAGCACCACTGGCCAGTTCACCTAATTCATCAAGATCCTCCAAATCCCCAATTGTGGGATAATTCATGCCCTCGTCGTCGCTACCCGCACCCATATCCGATTCTGCATAATCGTCTTCGTCTTCATCCTCGCCCTCGTCCAAATGTTCTTCATCATGAACTTCATCTTCATCATTCTCATTCCTCACAATCTCCGCTTCCTTCATTTCCACGCCACTGTCACTTGCCTCCGCACCTGCGATTGCTGGCAACAACTCCTGAGAACCATCACTAGCTTGAGTATGATCATGAGCCTTAGAGGAATCTTGAGGTGTCACAGCAGCTCCTTGATCCTTCGAATCTTGACTCTTGCAGGACACAGAGGACACGCTTGCAAAACATGGAGGTACATAACGTCTGGAAAGTTTGGCCCCTGGTACCGACGCCCTAGCAGTGCCTGCTCCAATCCCTAAGGCTACTATTGTCAGCCACCCCAATACGTGCAACCGTGCACAGTTCACGGCCAAAAACTTCTTCAGTTCAAGTCCCTGCTTCGTCCCAAGACTACTCCCCGCATCAGTTTCATATTCCGGAAGCGCGCGCTTCGCAGAATCCTCCCAACAAGTAATTCCTTCACTTTCTAGCCCAGAACTAACTTCTTCGACTTTGAATGCGCGGCATTCATCGGCATCAGACCTTCCCACGGGACCACTACAAATTCTCACCACCTGTGCAATCCAGCGCTGCTCTCTACGACTACCAAGAACTAGCCGCGACCGCTCGTTCCAAATACAAACACCCTGCAATCGTCTCCTGTCACAGTGAACTCTATATACACTTGAAGGTGACCTTCGGATAAATTTCACCCCCGCCACCAGGCTGCACGACGAAGGCGAGGCTTGCAAGCTAGAGCTGCAAACCAACACTCTAATGTTCTCCATAACAGCGCTTGCCGCCAGAACCTCCTTACACAATGTCAGGGTTTAGGGTTTAAGGCAACATTCGCTTCCAGGACTGTGACATATTATCACTCCAAAAACCACGACAGAAACGGAGAGCAGCTCAAAATATCCTCCAATTCCTGCCTGCATGCTGCAAAATGTTCCATTTTCGATCCCAGCACCCTAACGATCAATCCGACCTCATGAACTTCACAAGCTAAGAGAATCCGCAGACGACTCAACCTGTCTGAGAATCACATCTCTGAGTCTAGTTTCACACGCCGGTGCCCTTTCCTCTCAATATTCAATCCTCATACCATCTAAATTCGAAGATTTGGGAATGAGATTGAATGTTTCGATGCAGATTTCGAGTAGAAAAAAAGGATCTCAGACGATAGCGAAAAAAGTTTTTGGCTCGATTGTCGACGGAGGCAAGAGCCTTGTTCAGCCCTCGCATCCTCACGTGGAAGTGGCGATGGCATCTTCGCCGTCCGTTGTCTAGACGGCCGGATCGAGATTCGAATGAATGCATAACCCATCAATCCATTCGTCATTCATCTATATTCGCCTTGTTCCACGGCGCCATTATTTCTTACATGAAATTTTCTTTCCACTCTCCCAGAAAGAAATGAACTGAAGCTTGTCTGAACTCATTACTAGTGTAATCTAAATGCTATTTATTTCGAAAATTGTGCTAATTTTTTTACAAACTTAGAAGTAAGCTTCATGATCATGATTTTTGTGATGACTTGAAATTGAAGGCTAGAAGTTGAGTTTCCAAGTCTTATTTTTATAGAATATTTATAAGAACTTTATCGTAACTTAATTATGAATTTGGTACTAGAATGTTAGTGTCTAATAATATTCGAAACAATTAAAATTAGAAAAATATTTCCATGATGTTTACATAATTTGAAAAGAAGAAATAAATGCTAATTCAAAGTTACATTTCAATACATTATATAATGGGAGAGACACTACAACCAAAATGTGTGTAATATACAGTTATCCTTATTATTTATTTCAATTGTCGAATTAGAAATACTAGATAAAATGTATATTTTTGAAAAAACCGATTTAATGAAAAATGCAAAATTTAATCAAACGTACATGATAATGTTTTTGAAACCTATATAATAAAATTATGGATTATTTTTTCTTGCTTTCTTTCTTTATAAAGAAAAAGATAAAGAAAGTACTCATGTAGATGGATGTGCATTTAGCTACGACTTGATCGGATGTTAGTTGTAGCATTGTACTGTCAATATGGAATTTTGATGCACCGTTTTATGTCTTACTCAAAATGAATACAAATAATACAGATGCATACTTTTTTTTAATTAATTTCCTTAAAACGTCAAATAATGTCTAAAGCCATTTCATACCTTGTAAAGATCTATGTATAAACACAGTAAATGTACTTTCAAAACAAATTATGAACTCAAGTGACATTTGTAAATTACTTTTAATAAATATATGGAAGTTACTAACAAATATTATAATTTTGAACACTCGTAATATTTCATGAGATAATTATGGTAAAAAATCTGATAACGTTTTATTGGATTAAAGAACTGAAAATTATGTAAGAAAATATAATTCTCGTTTACAACTAGACATATCATTCATTTGACAAGGTTGATAATCTATCAAAAAACACCAATTTATGGAATATGCAAATTAGAAGTTAGTAATATCAATATAACTAAATCATATATATATATATATATATATAGATATATTGTTCAATCATGTATCGCTGTTTGTAGGAGAAAACCACTTTATGATTGTCACCTTCCCCTCCCTCTAACAAAATTATTACAATGAAAGAAATATTTAGTTCAATTTGTTTGTATGTTTTTGTTTGTATGTTATCTTGCTTTTGAACAAGAAGGGGTAAAACCAATCTGAAAGGATAATAATTATATATAAATAAATATTTTTTGCGGTTGGAAAAATAAAATGGAATTATTGCGTTGTCTATGCATACGTGGTTGTCATTCAAGACTTCGTAATGAGATCAGCATAAGTGCCCATACATCAGGCTCGTGTGGGCACGGTGTGAATAGAGCCCTACAACTTTTAGAAACCCTTTGGAGCGGAGCTGTTTATTCCGCTATTCGTAGAATAGCCGAACTCTCATCCATCCATAGACTCAACGGTCTTCCATGAGGCCACCTCAGCCCCCCAACGGTCCAACAGGCACTCCACGTCTCCATGCCACATCAGCAGCCCCTCGCTCCTATTGGCCGAATTCAAACGCGACCCCACACAAAAATACACAAGTGGCACCGGGCGTCCTCCCCTAGACGTCGAGCGAACGTTGAGCTTCAAGCGTCTGAATGGTAACGGCGAGTAATATTATTATTATTAGTAGTAGTACCTCGTCGCAACCAGCATCATCGTCTGCACATGAGAACTGGAATATGACATGCGCTGATCATGCGTGTTGGAAATCATAAGGTAAAAATCACGAAATTCGTTGTGCAGTTTGCGAGAAAAGGGGAATGCTGAACCGTTGGGTACCGAGCTGGGAAACTGATGAGGGGTGTGGCGGTGTCACTGCGGGATGAAAACCGTGGCGCTGCGTGTTTTATGCAAGTCGTGATGAGAAGCCGACGATGCTATGAGAAATGCCCGTGTCAGTCGTAGTGACTGAATTCTGTGAGAGAGCGCCCCCCCCCCCCCTTTTTTTTATTTGGCCGTTTGGGGAGGTCCCACATTGTGTGCATTCTGTTCTACAGCACCGTTGTTGTGATGCTATGTATTACCAGTGCTGGTTGTCCTGCCAGAACAGGAGTCAGGTTAAGCTTTGCTGTTGGCGAGAGATTTCGTGAGGGGTGTAGTGGGTGGGTATACGTTAGGGTTTTGGTGGATTGATTGTATTCGGTGTCATTGATTGACGTTTGAAGGTGGGGTTGGTACAGCAACTGGCCTGTCTGGTTGTTCATGAATTTGGTTGTAGGGTTTGGGATTTTGGTTTTAGCCGTACGTAATTGAACGAGCGAAATCGCACTTATTTCAGTGTATTTGCAGAAAAAGAGGGTTCGGCGTCTGTTGAGGATCTAACTCTTTCCGTTTGGAGAGCTGATGGTGTATGCACGGACGGTCCTGTAAATGCGGCTGTAATTCGGACAGGGTATCATCGCAGTTGAGTGACCGCAAGTTGACACGAGGAACAGCTGGTAGTTCTCGAAACCATGGATCATTTTGCTCGAAGGTATTTACGAGAATGTCGAAGATAGCGAAGCTGAGGTGAGAAATTAAACAACGTACCGGAAGACCTGGCGATTCTGGATTTTACATCAAGGAATTGATCGCTGCTCTTCTCAGTGCACTTTGGGATTTTGGATTGCCGGTCATGGCAACAATAGCAGTGAATGCGGACAACGAAGAAACATGAGTTGTAGACCCTGTTGACAGGGTTTGTTTACAATGACTATGAGGTTTGGCCTGATAGAGTCTGTGTTCCCAGTCCTCAGACATTAAGCCTTGAGCTCCGAGATTATAGATTCTGTGGTCATGGCAGTCGGAGAACCCAAGGGCGCGAACAGATATGACAAGGGTCATAATCTGGGTGAGGGAACATACGGTGTCGTTTTCAAGGCTGTTGACATAGTGGTAATTATCTCCTGCTTCCCCTACATTACTCATGTCTGATCAGTAATGTATCCAAGCTCCAAGTTTATCAAAACAGCTGTTGGGATCTGTCAGTATACGTCCTTACTGGCGATTCGAGAAGGCCTATCGAGTAAAAGTGATAGTGGGAACTTGAGCTACGCATGAACTCGCCAATTCTGTAGTTTGATTGTGTTAGCTAGCAATTAGGATGCCTGGAATGTTTTGCTACGCTTTTGCGGATTTGGCATGATTGGATGTGACAATCCATCAGCTTGGGTTCCATAGCTCTAACTAGACGCTAGAAATTTCAGTTCACGCGATGCAATAGGTTATGCTGGAAATGCATTTCATCTCCAAGGTCCAAGAGTCCAGTTTTTGCTTTCATTAGAACTGTGCGACTCTAATGTAACCGAGTGTGCTGCAGTCCAGTAGCTGGTTCGTAGTTTTGGGTATGCGACAGTTCGCACTTAGACAGGTCACATCGTTGCAATGCATGGAATGATGCGAGGGCACCCCAAAGCGCAAAGCTTTACGCACCTACACCCCATCCTTGACATCTGTGCATGAGTTACATTGTAATGTACTCTGTTTATGTACGCTGAAGGCATTATGGCTGAGTTTACAAGAATTCCGTCAATAGCCATATCTTCTGGTAAATATTAGAGAAGTTTTCCCTCTTGTCCGCTAGTGGAATTGAGACAATCACGTCCACTTGCACTGTCTAGATAAGGTCATCAGGTCTTTCAGCTCGTGAGAACATTAAGTTTCTGAAACTAAGTTCCATACAGGTTGCGTTACTGAGTCATTGTCTAGTCATTGTTGCGTTACTGAGTCATTGTCCATTGTACCTGGACAAACCACTGAGCTGTGTATTGAACTTATATTTCCCTACTGCTGTAGTTAAAGTGTTGATGGAATGCCAACGGTTAAGATAATCGGTTTCACTTGCTGGGATTCTGGGGTTAAGGAGTACGAAGTCAGTGAACGTGCGGCGCCTCATTGTTCTTCAAGCGACGTATATGACAGACCAATGTCACTGATCAAATCGTGGCAAATTTCTGCAGACAAACAGGACGGTAGCAATTAAAAAGATAAGATTGGGAAAGCTCAAGGAGGGTGTGAATGTGACAGCCTTGAGGGAGATCAAACTATTGAAAGAATTGCAAGACCCAAACATCATCGAGCTGATAGATGTATATCCTCACAAGAGCAATTTGCACCTCGTATTCGAATATATGGAGAGTGACTTAGAAGCAGTGATCCGAGATCGGAACATTTTTCTCTCCCCTGCCGACTACAAGGCTTACATGCAAATGATTCTTAAGGGACTAGCAGTTTGCCACAAGAAGTGGGTCCTTCACAGGTTAGATTTCCGAGCTCGTCTTCTTATCTTGTCCCATGTCAAGATGTACATCTCGCCACTGAATTTACTGGACTCTGCTTCGTTTTCGAACAAGGCCAGAGATGCAAACGACGGAGATGGCAGGGGCCGTTTTGTTTTATCTGAGTTCGTCAAGGTCGAATTGATTTCGTCAACATGTTTTAGAGAAACTTTTGGTACTGTAGTTGTTCCACTCCTCAGCTCTCACAGTTTGTTTTTGGTTGTGTTGCCCTGCCTAACATCGGGGTGTTCCATACAGGGATCTTAAACCAAACAATCTTTTGCTTGGTTCCAATGGGCAGCTAAAGCTTGCGGACTTTGGATTAGCTCGCATATTTGGGAGTCCCGACCGAAAGTTCACACACCAGGTACATATGCGTTCATTAGTTTCTCCTTTTGATTCTGCTCTTCTCGATGTTGCTTCCATCTTCCCCCCATTATGAAGTCGCCTGTCTAAGACATGTTTTTATCAATGTACCCTACTCCTTAAGATGGGGATCCCCGTATGACACCGTGTTTTTTTCAGTGTAGAGCTCCCTGCTGTGTGTTGCCTGTGTTGACACTCGAAGCTAGTATAGTTATCTGGTCTCAATTCTGAAAAATTCTCATCTGAAAATCAGGTCTTTGCACGATGGTATCGAGCACCTGAATTGCTATTTGGTTCCAAACAATATGGACCAGGTGTGGATGTGTGGGCCGCAGCATGTATTTTTGCGGAACTTATCCTCCGTCGTCCATTCCTCCAGGTACAGATGAGTAGGATTAAATATGGTTCTGTATTATCCGCCGTTAACGTCTTGTATTTAGCTCGATCATGGTCTTGGGATAATTCTTTTTGTTCCGGGCAGGCCGATGCCCGATGATCACACTGGTGCTGCTCACCTACTGATCCTTAAACTTGTCAACTTCATATTTAGTCCACAATGTACACAATGTGTCACATGTGAATCTGGGGATGGACTTGCGAGATGACACCCATGTTGTGCGCAGGGTTCTAGCGATATTGATCAGTTGGGGAAGATATTTGCAGCATTTGGCACTCCCGGGAAGGCGCAATGGCCTGATGTGACTAGCCTTCCTGATTATGTAGAGTATCAGCATTCTCCACCGCAGTCCTTCCGCAGTCTGTTCCCCCAGGCAAGCGAGGACTGTATTGACCTTCTTCAGCGAATGTTCACCTACGACCCAAAGCGAAGAATAACTGCTCAGCAAGCATTAGAGCATAGGTATAGTTTCCCAACGGATTCCTCCATCTTTCTTTATAGTATTTCTTAAAACGCCTTCTTCGTTCCTCTACTTTCTACATGATCAGGTGGGATGTGCTTACTCGAGAGCGTGATTCCCAGGTAATGACTACTCTCTTCTATATTGTGGTTCTGGGTAACTTCTGGGCTGGTTACTGACCGCTGTGGTATTTACAATATCAGATATTTTAGGACTGAACCAGCACCAACGCCATGTCACATGCTTCGAAGGCCGTCAAAGCCGGAAGCACAGCCAAAGCCCATTGAGCTTCTGTCTCCAGCTGGGCACATTGTCTTTTCCCCTCCTACGAAGACGCGGCGTCTCCAGCTCTTTGGTGGGGATATCAAAACAGCTGGTGAAGCGAACCGGGATGGGCAGGCCAAACAGCAACTTGAATTAGGAACCCCCATTGATGCCATCACTATCCCTATGTCAATAGATCCCAAAACAAATCTTCGACCCACTCTCAACAGGTGAATCCCTCATTTGCTTATTTTTTGCTTTCGTTTCTTCCTTGTTTTCTTCTATCTTGTATATATATGTCGACTTAGACCCTTCTCGAGACTGCTCGTGTTCAGGACATTAAACCGTTCGCTGCAAGTTAAACCATCTGGATATGCCAATGCAACTTTGTCACCACATTCGTCCTTCACATCAGGTTTCTAGACGTTTATGGGATGGATCAAGTCCTTGTACACAAATGTAGCATATATTGAGGGGAGGCTTACATTTAGTGTCGCCGTGCAATGTGCTGATGATTTTCCTCTCTGGGTTGATTTGGACAGTACGGATAGAACATATTTGAAGAGGAAGCTAGATATGGACATTTTTCTTACCCCAGCACGGCGGTAAGGATAACCGTGTATCAATTACACTAAACTGCAATTACTTCATGGTGTCTTTTGTATCTACCAAGACCCATAGGGGCATAGAAAAGAGAATCAGCGCAGAGTGGATAGAAGCAGAAGTAGCTTTAGCACAGAGTTGGGTCCCAGTCAGGACCAAGACTCTAGTGAATTCAGGGTTAGGTATATTCGTATAGGTCTCAAATATCAGAGACCTCGCATAGAGTCACATGATCTGGAGTAATTTCAAGTTTCAACCCTAGTGTACAGTTTTAGAGGATGGCTGTAAGATTAGTGTTACATGTACAGCCATGAGGACTCTGCATGGCTGAAGCATTGAAAGCATTGATTCATTGGGCAGAAATCTTCTGCGTTGATTGAGAATCTGTAAAAAAGGAGTGAATTTCCTATCATATGACGTATTCAATCAGCGAGCAAACTGCATTGTTTTGTTATGTCTCAGTGTGATAGGAGTCACTATTGCACACTTCTAGCTCGGTCAAATACTCCATTATCTAACGGCTTATGATCCACCAGTTAAGGCATGTGACGGCGTAGCTGCTCATCAGTAGTTTCAATAAAACTCAGTTATTCAAGATTATGTTCATCAAAGTGGCACTTTCATCAACTCATGTATACTATTTGCCAATGATAACATGAACTGGAAGAGTAAAAGAAGGGCCCAATACTTGATAACCAGCCATGTAGAAATACTAATCAGTTGCAATGTCGGAAGTAAACACATGAAAAATATCAATCAATTGGTCATTTTTTCACGTAACTTTACATCAGCGACGTCCAGGGAAGCAGAAGGGTGAGAGGCGGCCCGTAGAGCCCGCACACTTTGGGGGCCCCGCCAGAGGAAGATTGTTAGCCATGGCTTTAGGAGCAGCCAGAAGTGAGCGACCGTTGGTCAGCCAACCGAGAGCCTAATCCGAAGGGGCTTCCGCTCTGGATAACGGAAGCCAATGGCGAGGACGCCTGGAGAGCAGGTATGGCGTGGCCTCGCTCGCCACACATGGTCTGCACGGCCTCCCCTCCACTGCCACAGAGTGCCTGCCTGCCTCTGCCTCTGCCTCTACGTGCCTCTCTCAATCTCTCACTTGGTCGCATGCAATTCGGTTCCGAATTGCTCGAGTTCAGCGCATCCTGTGCGGTGCAGTGAGTCTCGCGGGTTGATTTTGCTTGGATTCGTCTGCAATGGCTGAGTCTATGTCTGTTTGCGCTTCCAACATGCGAGGCGCTTGCACATTGTCCAGCCTTAAGGCTATGCACAGCGCCCATGAGATCTTGGACGCTGGTTGTACTGTGTCGAGAGTTGCTCCTAACGGCTGCCGCATGGTTGTCCGCGCTGCGGGCTCGCAGAAGGGGGGCGTGAACCCCGTGAAGCCTGGTACCAATCAGCCTGGAACTCTTCAAGGGGGCGGTACCCGCTACGTCGGTGGAAAGAAGGTATCGTCGGGCTCTGGTGTGTCGATCTTTGCTTCTTTGACGGTTATCTTACAATTGATTGTGTTGTTGCGGTTTCTCTATTTCTCATCTGCTAGCCCCTTCGAGGTCTTGTGCTGTGCGTTCAAGGCACAGGGGGGGTGGTGTAACTCTAGGACGTCTGGACCAGAGGTAGTGTTGAGTTGGACTGCCAATGTGCACTCAGTGGCTATCATTTTATATCTCACCATAAACTTGGCATGATCACTGAATGCGAGAATGAACATTATATGCGTGGGATGGGAAATGCTTAATTCGAAGCAGCCGTAGATACTTCTTATACCCTCCAGAGTAAATCGGAGAAATACATGAATGCATCGGCTTGCGATGTTTGAGGTGGGATTTTCTGAGGCGTTGTTCCATGCCGTGTGGTGTGATGAACTTCTGAACAGGTCAAGGCGATTGAAGTGTTCGGTGACAAGTCAGGCAAGGTGCGCGACAAGATCAGGGAAAGTCCCGAGGCCATCAAGATCCTGTCAAGAGTAGAACAATTGAGATTACTTTCCAAGGCTGAGAAGGCAGGTCTTCTTACCACAGTTGAGAACTTGGGATTTTCTCTCAGCAAGATTGAGAGCCTAGGACTTCTATCCAAGGCAGAAGAGCTGGGAGTTCTGTCTGCTGCTACCAACCCCGCCACACCCGGCGCACTTCTCACCACCGCCCTGGCTCTTTTGCTCCTCGGCCCTGTCTTCGTGTACTTTGTGCCCGAAACTTCCACCCCTCTCATAGTTCTTCAAGTTATCATCGCAGCAATCTCTGTTGTTGGAGGCTCGGCTGCATTCGGTGCATCCAATTTTGTATCTACTTTACAAAACTCTGAGTAGAGCTTCTTCCGCTGGTCGTGTCCAGTGGGTTAAGTATATCAGTAGCGTACTGTACAAACAGCAACAAGTCTTTGTGGTTACAATTTGAAATGAAGACATGATCCATCCCCTTCTGTATGGTGTGAATATATGCGCCTCAACAACTAACTTCTCCATTTTCGTAGTAATCCGTCGCGTCCTGCTCATAAGTGTGTCTCCTACACACCCGTTGCATGTTGTTTTCGAACTATTCCGATGTTCGTACTGGAATGTGCTTGTCCTCCCTTTTGGCTTAGTGCAAAAAACCAAGTGAATTACATGTGGTGTCTCAGTGCTTGCTGCGTTTGAAAATGCCAGACTTGGTTTAACTAATATTGCCAGCTGTGTGCCACTCTGCCGTACTCACCTCGTGCCATTCACATCCCGGCACAGAACCATGTTCGACTATCGGCCACCAGCCAACTGCCACAGTTATTGCATCGAGTGCAGCGCGGAGAGGAACTCTTTGCGCACTCCATTTGTGATATCGTTTGGAGTGATCTATGCCCAACATGGTGCACTGCGGTTAGAAGGATGTTTGGAACCACAGTTTCCTACTTCATACGCTGTGTGTGTCGCCAATATCGCCAGCGTGCGCATCGCAGCTTCTAGTAATCAATTCACATTGTTGGGTGATACAAGTAACGGTGTACAAGTCTCTGTCCTCACAACGCCTGCTCTTCAACCTATCTTCACCTCTTCCGTTTCGGTGCGCCGTTTGCCCTCCGCGGATTCTGCAGGGGATTGTGCCTGCGGTCCTTGGTTCACTGATTGGATTTAGGGTGATTGCAGATACCGGAATACACGGCAGTAAGTGCATTAACAGTTCGTCGAAAGGACTTCGAATTTTTTCATTTTTTAGTTATGACATCGGAGTACTCTGAAATTGATTCAGTATTTATTTCTGAAGAGAGCGGCCCTGAGAGTCTTGGCAGTCCTGAGGTTCAAAAGAAACCCAGCTGTGCTTGCAGTGCAAGTCCCATAAAAAGTCCTGTAACGTCTGCCGAGTTTGGAAACTACTTGGAGAAGGAGATTGTTCAGGGGAGTCGATCATTCCATGGAACAGACACTGAAGCGGCTCACGAAGAGGGTATTTATGAGGCTGATATGACGGTCAAAGTGGTCCAGGCGCTTTCTGAACACTCCAATGATGGAACTTGCCTAAAAGTAGGTCATTGCTCACCGATACTGCGCATTGACGACCCTGCATGTGATGCGTCACAGATCCGTGAGACTGCTGTCTCTGCAAACAATGAGCCGGGCTATGTTATGGAGGTTAATCGGGCCTGCATTTCGCCACCGAAATGCGAGGAACGGTTTGCGCGAACCTCAAATTGTGAGGAGGAAGTAAATTTTGGAAAAGTAGAATCTCCTGAAGTTGCGTATGTTCCATCACAGTCTTCAGGAACAGGATCTTCAGCTGAGGGACTTGACAGGGCTGCGAACTTTAACAATCCTTCATCCGATCTTGGCATTCTCAAAGATCGAGGGATGCAAGTGGAGGAGACGAATAGGTTTCTCAAAGACCGCAAATTGTCAAGGAAGCCATCGTCCAACCCAGCCAGATCTTTGGTGGAGCAGCTGAAGAAGATCGACCTCAGCTTGGATGGAGGGACACTCAAAGTTTGCGACCGCAACCTTAGCGAATATGGTACAGATTTTATTCCAACCTGAAACTACGTCGGGTGCGTGCCTCATGCATACATACTTGTGTCAAGGTGATGATGTTGTGATTCAAGGAACTTCGTCCACATGACGCTTCACGGCCAATTTTCTTTTAAACATGGGTGATCAAAGCCGACAATCGTAGGTATTGAACTCATGTGTGTTCAATGAGAGTCCGCACATCTGCTTTCCTGCTGTGCTCGTGGCATCGTTTAGGGTTTCGTTCCTAAGAAGAATGTTGTGATTTTCAATCATAATCTGCTCCATGTATAAATCCTTGATGGTGAGGATCTGTGGGAGTCTGAGTTGTGCTATCTTTTGTTATTCTCTTGGTGACAGCTTTAGCGACAATTGTGAATGCTGTCAAGAATAATGACAAGCTCGCGGAGCTCGACTTAAGTGGTAACGTTCAATATCTTTTTGCGGGAGATCTGTCTTTCATGCCAGCTACTGTTATCTGAGGCTGAAGCTGCAAAAGTTTCTCTCTTTGCAAAATTTCGTACAAATGAAGCTACGGGTTAGAATGGATTTTAAAGTTCCAAGCACAGGAGCACTCTAAGCTTTGATAACGAATACTTGATTAACAACAGCATGACTGATATGTTCTCTGGGTTCGTGCAACTGCATTTCCTTGGAAAAACAGGATGCTGTATCCAAAAGGGAGATGCCCTTGCCGAGCTTGTTCGGAATTCTCCTTCGCTACAAAGGTGAGCTCCACTACTCTATACTCGCCTCGAGGATGAGGTGTTATTTGTTGTGATTTGCGGCCTGTAGCAATCTGCCTCTAAACAGCAGCATTCTCTGCTGCAGATTTTCGTGTGATCTCATTTTGAAGCTACTCCTGTCATCGTGCTTGTGTTAGGCATCTAGTCTTCTATTTGCTTTTGTTGCAGTTGGAGTGTAAATTAGAGCTTGCTTATCCTGTGTATAAACTTTTTCCTACTCTCCGCAAATTTATCCGGTTTGGTAGCAATTATTTCTACAGGCTGCTTTTGGCGTGGAACTCCCTGGGTTCGGCTCGCACTGGCATTGCAGCTCTTGCGTTTGCTGTCGCGTCAGCCCCTTCACTCCGAGAGGTTTCTACGCAACTTATGGAGAAAATTTTCGTCTCACTGAAGTTTATGTTGTGATGATAAACTTTATGAAACACATCGTGATTGCCTAAACCTCGAACTATTGCTTTTCTAAGGAACTTAACATTCTGTGAATTGACAATCCTGCGTGGTGCACAGAGACTTGTAAATCTTTTCTTTCGTGAATACCTCACTACCATAAATTAGTTTTGACAATAAGATTTTCCTAAAGAAGGTAATGCATTTGTAAGTCAATATGATTTGTCTTGAACTGATATTGTTTCTACTTGTTGGAATGGCGACATAAACTCTTTTTAGCTGGATCTACGGAGCAACCGAATTGGACCGGCCACTGCCGCGGCTTTGGCGCTTGCACTTCGTTCGAACAACACCCTGAAACGCATTGGTAGTTCAAGGTCCCGTTGCCTTCATCACAACTCTTTTTTGTTGAACGGGATTTCAGCCCCCTGAATCATTTTTTCACACGTCTAGCGGAATTAAAATAGTTAGAATGACGGTGCTTCAACGTGCACGTTTGACTTTCTGGCTGATTTGGATCACTCTGATCCGAAGCAGTCAAAGATAACGGGACAAAAATGATGGGTTTCGAAACGTTTGCACTTCCACATGTAAAATTGTCAATTACTCGTGACAGTGGTTTTAAAGGACCATCCATTTCCTTGGATTGAGGTATGTACTCATTTGCTTAGAAACAAAAATCGTGTTGACTGTCTCTACCCATGTGTGCTAGACACAATCAAATCGCATGTTCATAACCATTGTACATATAATGTGTGCAAGAATTCATGTAGGAAATTGATTTCAAGGATGGATGTTTTTTTATTCAGATTTAACGTACAATGAAGTGGGTACAAGTGGTGCAACAGCTCTTTTAGGCATGCTTGAGAAGAATCATTTTCTCACCGAATTGAAATTGGCTGGAAACAACATACCTTGTCAGCTTCTGGGACAAATAGGTATTGGACTACTCTTTCCCATGTATTTTTTTTAATTTGTTACTTTGGCAAAACGAAAACACCCTTTCTACTATGTCATTAATTGAATACATGGTAGTTGCAAACAAGCGAGACATAGATGCAGGTGTGAAATGGGAGCTTTTGTGCTCCAGATAGCTTGCTTCAGAAAAATCGTGCCAGACACTCGATGACGGAGGATTGCGATGATCTTGCGGTCACACCAGAGATTGTGAGCAGATTATTTTTCATATTATTGAATAATTTATGCTAATCTACATACCTCTACCTTCGCATTCATTTCAAATTGGTGTATAAATCTGTTTCTCTAATATGTTAGTTGAGCTCTGATTTTACTACAAGTGATTGATCATCAAGAAATTTGCATGTATACACTAGAATATTTTGTTGATTCCTATTTCTGCGTCTGAAGTGCGGAGATGCAGGCTCGAGAGTTTCTGATTTGAGAACCGCACGCCATAGTCAATCTCAATGTTGGATTTCAACTTTTCCTGAAGCAAAATCGGCAAAACGAGCCTCATCGACCAGAATATCGGGAAGATCAACCGCTCAAAATTCCAACAAGATCATTCAGGATGAGTTAGAAATGCTTCGCAAAATCCTTGTAAGATTTTCCATCTGGTGGTATCATGTATATAACGGAATGTAGAAATTGATTTTAATTATCATTAGTTAAACTCCAACTAGATCTGAAGTTTCTTTGTGGATGAAATTTGATAGAATTTCAGTCAGAAAGTCATTCTCGTAATAGACTCAATTCAATGCAAAAGAGATCTTTGATCAGATTTTTTTTTGTAATGCTCAAAATGAGCCTCTTCCGAAAACGAACTATCTTTTTCATGTATGCTTGCATAACACGACGAACCAATAAACAACACGAATGAACCATTGGTAATAATGAAGGGTGATGCGAAGGCAGAGTGCGATGATTTGTATAAGCAAAAATGCGATACAGTTTGTCAACTTGAGGTAATCATTTTTACTTGTTTCAGTTTATAGTTTCTTGTTCTATGCAATGAATTGCTTGCCAATTTGAGTGCTTGTGAATTCATTTACCTTCGGAAGGCTCCTTATTCCATATATAGGAAATGAATTGTAGGGTGCTTTACGTTTCAACTCTTGGTGCAGAATGTTGGTACAGGGAAGAAAAAAAATTAATGTTCAAGTACATTAACTTTGGTATGGGTAACATGTTGAATAATTAAATAGACAAACAAAATTTCTCATGGAGACTCCAAATTTTTTGTCTCCATCACTTAACAAGGAAAACTTTCAATATATGGAATGTGCCTTTGTGGTAAGGCCTCTCGAGAGGAGCTAGATAAGGAGATCAAGCGTCGAGGAAAAGTTCAACGTGAAACTGAGGAACTGAAAACGGAAATTGCAAAATTGAAACAGGCAAGAATATATTCTGTACTTCATGCCCGCTTGGGCTTTCAATAATGTGGCTCGGTTCGGTAAAAGCAGCATACTGCTGCAAATAGATCTACCTTAAACAGAAATTGAGGGTTCAACGCCAACGTAAAGCACCACTGTCTGCCTGAGTATTTGTTGCTTTGCACTGGAAGCATTTTATCACTGAAAAAATGAAAGATAACAATTGCTACCTTGATTCGTGATTTCACTAGGAAATAGGTTTTCTCCAAGACAAGTTGCATTGCAATGCCTGTGAGACTTACAAGAAAATAGATATTCTTGAAGTGAGTTCTTTCTTTCCTACCTTTTCTTCCTGTCTATAAAACTTGCATTGGTCTTGGCTTCAGCATGAACTGCAACATTAATAGCCATAGTTATGCATGTAGCATGCTACTTCCCATCTCTTAATTACTTATGATCTAATTTAAAATTTAAAATTTAAAATTTTGATTGTGTTATTGAACACATTTCTATATCCAGAAAGAAATTACGAACAGAAAGGAGAGCGAAAGAGTAGCCCAAGAACGAGAAGCAGAAGGCTTGAAGGAGATTCAGCATTTAACGGATCAGGTTTGAAGTTAGTACCTACTGTTTAGACGATGCAGATGCAAATTGTGCGGAGTGTTATGGAAGATGAATATTTTGGAAGATTGATATCTGTATCAAAGTGTACATCCTCGCTGAATAATGCACTGTAAATAAAATAGAATTCAACTTATTCTTTTTCTCAACGCGATTTACCAGTTGCCTCCGTTCTAAGGAGGCGTAGAATATGAAGTCATAAGCTTGGCGAAATCTTGCATTCAAGTCTAGAAACTGTGCTCCTCCTGTACATTTTTAAAGACTAGGCTCATGTATCACATCTTAATACTAAAAAATATGGCCCTCAGATTGTTCTCACCAGACCAAAAGATCCCTGCCTGGAGAACTAGAAGTAACTATATGTTGTGGATTTTGCAGTTAACGACATTGCAAGAGGACAGCATTAAACGTATACACGCCATGGAAGGTAAGATTCTGTAGACTTTTGAATCCAATAGGTAGACAATTTTGATATCCTTGCTCGTTTTCTTTATCCTTTTGAAATCTTTTGGAACTGAAGCCTCTTCAACTTCTTGAGCAAAAAGTTAACCCTGCACTCTGTTAATTTTGCATCCTTGTGTAGCAAAATATAAGAGCGAGGCTAAGCACAACGCTGTCCTAATAAATAAGCTGGAATCTTCTATTTCTCAACGCGATCTAAAGCAACTTGAGGAGGTCCAAACCACTTCTTTTGATTTTAACGCAAAATATGAACATCAATGCATGGTCGCTCCCCTAATTCTTTTTTCTGAAAGAAACAAGATGCTCAAATCAACAGCTTCTTCGCTGTATCTTTGCAGATCGAGGCGGTCAGGTCCCAATCAGAAGTTGAAATTGACTCACTCAAATCTATTAGGGATGACCTGATTATGGTAAGTGAACGGCACATGGTCTTTTCGTGGCTTGGGTTTCCACTTGCTAGGAGGAATCGTCTTGGTTACTTCCTCAAGACTACTCGTTCTTTTCGCAGGAAGTTGAAAAGCAGAAGGGCAACACTAAGCTTTGCGAGCAGCAACTAGTAATCCATAAGCAGGTCCTACAACAAGAAAAGGTCTATATTCTTGTGCTCATGGACTTACATGTAATGCAAGACGGTATGTGAGAAAAAAATGTTATGACATACATGTAAGCACCAAGTTCATCTGCATGACCTTGGACAAGTTTTCAAACATTTCCATGCTCTGGAAAAATTGCCTTGGAGGATCTTTCATGTTACCAAAAGGTCTTTGATGATGTGTTACAGGAGGCTATTGAGCAAGAGCTGAAACTTCAAATTAAAATCCACGTGGTGAAAATAGAATGCCTTGAGGTGGTTTCTTTCGTCCCCATCTGATGAGCCCTGACAGTTTCTGATGTAGTGTAGTGAAACATCATCCGGAATCAAACTAGCATATGATGTTGCGTGACCAAATTTCGCATGATTTTTGACGGATTTCAACTTCTACCGAAGCGAATATTTTCCAGAGCTTGAACTAGAGAATACTCTCTCAGATCGTTCCTAATAACTTTAGGTGTTAATGTGACAGAATCAATTGGAGGAGAAGGACAAGGAGAATGCGAAAATAAAGCAGGTTATCTTAACCCATCATACAAAGTGACGACCTACGTGAAGTCTTCAGTAGCTTCCATCTAACCCTATCTTCTCACAAAGTCATCTTCCGGGGTCTCTGCAATATCATTTCATTAACATCCATACCCTGGGCTTTTGTCCAAGAGCTTGGAATTTGTCCTATAACAGAGTTGAGAAGGTACGTGAAGGATATTAGGCCCAATTGTTAGTAACAAAGCCTGAACATTTGATTGGCCTGTTCATACTTGATTATAATGATGCTGTTAATTGGTGGAGGCAGAAACATGGAGAACATGTACAAGCCTTGGAGGATGATTTAAGGAAAGAAAGGGCATCAGTAACAAGAGCTGGACTCATTAAATCTGATGCCGAACAAAAAATTGCTACAATGGAAGCTGACATGGTAGTTTTTATCTCATTTGTTAATACCATGACGTTTGAAATGGAATACTTTTGCACTGTGTTTTTTCAGCAATCAATCGCTATTCACAGTAAATGCTCTATGATATGCTCTTGTAAAAAGCATTTTTTGAGAAGCTGTGGTTGTTTCTATCATCAAAAATTGTACCTTAAAAGCTCTAACACATATTGCTCGAACAGGAACTATGGAAGGAGAAATACAAGGCAGAGCAGGAGGGAGCAATGTTTCTTGAAGAAAAAATTCGAGCAGATGAGCTTAAGTTTTATTCTTGTGTGACAGCTTTATGCAGCAAAGTAAATTACTCCATCTTGCATCAAACACTTTATCAGATTTGAACACTTTTAGGCCTACACAAGTCGGATGGCGGTTCTAAATCATTTACATGAAGTGAAATCTGTTGGTTGCACAGAACGCAGAAGAGCAAGAAATGATGAAAGGAGATTTATGCCTACAACGAAAGAAGATAGAAACTATGCACATGCAACACAAAGAGGTACAGAAATTTTGCATACTTATTTCAGATATTCAGCTCATGTCTATGTTTAAGTCGTAATAATGGCACTAATGTTGGACAGCACTAAGAATGCCGAGCATTCCAAAGTATGAAGACTGTGTTCTTAATATGCGTTGTTGTCCAAGTATTCAAAGCTGAAACATTTTGCCTGCAGATGCAAGCAGAACACGATAGAAGGATGAAAGACGTTGAAATTCAATTAAGAGGGACAGAAACAGCGGTAGTGGAATGGGTTCAGCAACAATTTTCCGCCCTCCTCGTAGCTTTAAGCTTCCATGCTTCTCTTCCAGCCATAAAGAAGTAAGTCTCTCGCAATCTGAATTGGCAACGTATATCACTAAAATATTTTCTCTCACAGTTGTATCTTGATAATTAGATGGAATTAAACATTAATCCATCTCCACCTTAAATGCAATAAGTCTAAGTTTCTATGCCATAAACAGCTGTCACAATTAATCGCCTGTTTTGCTGTCCATAACCAGCGGATCTGTGTGGAAGTCTCACTTCAATCGGGGCATGGCCATAGAGGGATCGGACGGAGCTGAACCAAGACAGACTCGTAGTGCATGCATGTCTGAGAATCAGGCAAGCTCTCCTTTGTCTCCAAGAAAATCCCAAACTTGCCAACCAACAGATGCAACATCTACAGATTTGCCTCCCATGGCTTCACAATCGAACCTATTAATGGCGAGATTAAACCCTGCTCCAGTTGTCACCAAACCAGTCTCTCCATCGAGCCAATCAAATACAAAAGCCAACCCTCCAGCCTCAGGATTTCCCTCAACAACCCAACTGATGACAGACAAAGGTCCTCGCCCGGGTCTTGCAAGTTCTAGAAGCAGTCGAATGCTAGTCGACTATACCTGCTCAGCACCGTCTTTGAGCGTGATAAGTTTGGTCCAGCCCGTCCTGTATGAAGAAGTTGGAACAGTTGAAGAGGATCTGGTGTCCAGCGATAGAGAAAGCGTCAACTCCGATGAGATGTGATTCAGCCTTTTATCGAGCTAACCTGATATTTAAAGGACCATATTGGTAAAAAAAAACGAACAGGTCCTATGCATCCCCTATGCAGTCAGGCGGACCTGCTCCTTTTGCTCTCTTATGGAGAGTCAGGATTCTCAGACAATATCACTGAATCCTTCAAAACCACAGATGAGACCGTTCACAAACTATTCACGCAATTGAATCGGCACACAGAGAGATCAATCTCATGAACATCAGACACTCAAGCTGGCTTAAGGGGCTTGTATGGGCAGCAGAATCTCACCACATGAGAGCAATCCATGGCTGTAGCTGGAGCAATATTGAGAGTGATCTAGCATTGTCTCCCACAAGGAAATACACAGTGACATCGGCTTCGTTCGTCAGGTCCACCGTGAACGCTTCTATTGAGATTTCAAGCAGTTCATTTCTCACAGCCACTGGTCTCTGTGCAAACGCTAACAAAGGTAAGTCAAGATCCTCCCTGCACAGACTCCCTTTGGCAGCTGATAAAACAGAACATCAAACATCAAAGACGGCATTTTAGCGCTTTGATACATGATTATGTATAGTTACTTAAGCACCTTGTGCTAACCTTTCAAATACACATGTTCGGGATTTCTTGTTATGCTATCGTCCTTCTCAACTTCCGATTTCATGGAGGAAGTTTTAGTGGTTTTTGCCTCTAGTGAAGGCTTTCTCCAGGGACCCAATTCACGATAGAAAAGATTCATCTGTCGGTCTAAGAATACAAAAAGTTTGATCCACCATCTCTCTGATGTTTTCATGCAAAGAATGTATTCTTGTGAATGGTTTGTGAAATAGTGTAAATTTTAGTTGGAATTTAAATTATGTCAGTGATTGTTGAAGATTCCAAGCTTGAGTTGAACTTAAAAAGCATGGTGTGTGGGTTCAAAAAATATGAGTGATCATTTATAACGTCGATGTTATGAAGAAGCACACGCAAGTGTCATTATAATTTTCGTGCAAAAATTAACAGCAAGAACGTTTTTCAAGTGACATTACTATTTTATGACATAAAGTAGATGTAGTGTAAGAAAATAATGCAGAATGTATATTATACAAAGTAGTATGTTCGATTTTCTTAGTACACCTATGTTCAATTCATACATAATTCATTTGAAGTATTGAAAATATTTATATATACATTTTAATACATTTTTTTTCTTACTTATTACATAATATTTATACAAAATTTACTGTAAAAAAGGTAGAACCATAAAGATAAACATTTTCTTTTAAAAATTAGAAAAATTTTAAAATAAATGTGTTATTTATTTAATAAATTATTGGATATAGATTTTAGGCATAAAACTTCACAATGAGTTTTTTTTTTTTTTTTTTTTTTTTTAATATTAAGAAAATTGGTGATAGTAACAAATTAGACATTTTATAAGTTGAATATTTTTTAAAAAAACTTTAAATTAAAGTGAGTGATAAATAATCAATTTCTAAAAGAACCTAAAAGCAGCTTATAATTGTTATAATCACAAAATGTATCCCCTACAATAATTTTGTTGTTAAATATTTTCAAAAGAAAAATTGATACTATTCTCATATATAAACCTAAATATTATATTTTATAATACATATTTTATATACATATAACTTTTTAAAAATTGGCTACTTTAAAGCTATATATTAATGGAAATCTTACAAAGAATATAATTTATTACTTAGAATCTTATCACATGATGTGGCATTGGGTGCCAAATTCCATTTGAAGTATGTAATTTAGTTTGGTTTAGTGGTTTTCCATCAACTTAGTTTTTTCTACTAGCTGACTTTGTTAGTATCAATTAGGATTTGAAGACCTAAGTGGAGACACTCCCTTGACTTAACATTCTTATAAAGTCAAAACTTGTGAGTGATTTTGAGAGAAAAAGCTTATGTTATAAGAGTTTGCTTGACTATGGTGATTTAGCCTTTTAGTAAAGCCTTGGGATATTTTCTAATCACACTTGTACTCTTGGATTCTCCCTATGTGGTGTGAGAGGTAATTCAACTTAGTTGTATGTAGATTTCTCAAAACTCCTTGAGATTTTGTTGGTTGAGCATTTGAATTTGGTTTAGGTTACATATTTTACAATTGATTTATTTCACTCAATCTGTTTTGTATAACAACCTTTGTTTACACAACAATCTCTTGAAGATGCGCCAATCTTCTTTGTGAAAAAAAAAAAAAAAAAAAAAAAAAAAAATCTTACAAAAATATGTAAAATGTCATAGAGCCAATAAGTTGCATATTAAAAATTGATATCTATTTTTTCATAATATTGGAGCTTCTTAATCAACTAAGGGAAGTTAAGATCTATACTAAGATAGATATACAAGAAATCTAAAATCTAATATGTATTAAAGAAGGAGATGAATAAAAGATTGCATTTTGAACTAAGTATAGTTATTTCAACTATAATGCTATGTTTTTTGGATTTACAAATATATTACCTATTTTTTTAGCATTTGATAAATGGTGTATTTTAAAACATTTCAAATAGGTATATTGATTGTTATTTAAAAAACATGCTTATCTATTCCAAGAAAAGATATCAACATAAACAATATGTTCGTCATATATCACATGGCAATCTCAAAAATCTAAAATATGGTTTTTTTGCTATCTAGTATTGATATACATAAAATTGAGGTATTTTTAATCTTTTTAAGATGTATGTGTATATATATATATATATACAAATAATATTTTAGCTTAATTCTTTCTTTAATATATTTTTTTATTTTTTCATATCTAAAATGATATTTGAAATTTATAATATTCTAGAAATGTACAAGTATGTATGTATATATATATATATATATATATATATATATTTACATATATCTTTTTACATTTTAATATTTATATTTAGATATGTAAGGTTTTTTTTTAGTTTTCTACATATTATATGTATATTATATTCTTTTGCAAGTTGTTGATGTTTTAATAGTTGATTTTATTTTATTTTATTTTACAATTGTATCTTTTATAAATTAAGACCAAGACTATCTTAAATCTTTCAAATTCTTTTATTGATTTTTATCTTAGGTAATTTTAAAAATATTTGCCTACCTTAAGAATATATATTCAGTTAATAACTCATATATTGATTGTGTCTTCATACATTTCTTGGTCCATTGTGTATAGAACTATTTTTATAATTAAACAATGAACTCTTATGTTTTATTTGTGCTTTGGATGTACTATTTATTTTTTAATCTTCAGTAAAAACATAATAAGTTCTATGCAAATTCTATTAATGAATCCTGCAATTTCAGTAGTTATGATTTTGGTTAACAAAAATAAATACTAGTATATTACTAAAATAGAAAAATATTTATAAAAAAATCATATATTTGATTATGTTTTATCCACTATACAAAATAATCATCATATAAAATTTTTACATCAAAAAAAATGAAATAAATCTTATGTCTTATATGAATTAAATCCTCTCATTCTCTTTTCTTTTGCAATATTTGAATTCAATTATTATTTTTTATATTTAGAACTCTTAACTCCACCCTCTAGGTATTAGAAGTTAATTAGTCTAATATATTTTGACTATTTCATTAATAAATTAGATATATGATATTTTTGTGTCAACAAAAAATAATATATCTTTTATTAACTTTCTTTTTTTACTTGATATATATAGAAGCATTAAAGATTCATATTGTTCTTAGCAACTCATACTATAATTTCTTTAAAAAGTTATACTTTAATATAAGAATAGAATTTTTTCTTAAAGATGAAATGATTTTCATGATATTTGACAAATTCAAAAAAGACAATTGTCTTCCTCTTTTTCTTACTTAATTGCCTCTCTCAACCTACACTCCTCTTTTTTGCAATAATATTTTATTTCAAACATTTAATTATAATTTTGATGTTACATCTTTAATATATATATATATATATATATATATATATATATAGTGCCATATATTTATTTGATACAAATTCATTTGAAAAAGGTTTCTTGCATTTTTGAGTGTTATAAAATATTATACAAAAGCACAATTTAACGTGTATGTAAAAGTGGAAAATTTTGTTTGAAGATTTAAGAATTGATAATAAGAATATAAATATGTCATGCATAATTAGGTGGGAAACATTTATGTATTTCAATGTATAAATAATACTTTTTATAGAAAAGACATATCTAATATATTTTAGAGTATTCAACAAAACATTTGAATTTAATCCAGATTTTGAAATTTACACTGTAATTCAAACTCTGAATTTAGTTTGAGGTTGAAATTCACTTTTGAGCGTTAGACTAAAAACCCAAGAATTATGACACTGTATTTCTTCCTTGCAATTAATTCCGTTTGTAATATATTCTATTTGCTGAATAAATTCTAGGGACAAATACACCATATTTGCTGAATTTTTATAACAACTAAATAACCTTTTTGATGACTTGACACACTTAGTTCAAAAAAACAAAAGCTCGAATGTTTATGCTTGTTGGAAATAAAGGAGCAATTGTAATAAAATAATGTGTTTATAAGACCATACAGATGCCTACCCTCAAGAAAAGGAGGCCACATCCCTTGCTCTCATCAGCAATTATAATTCACGCAAATCAAGAGTTATTCCCTTATCTCAAACCTGATGTTGGGTTAATAAGACCATACCAAAGTAAAATTGGGAATGGAAAAAATAAATAAATAAAAAGAAGAAGAAGAGAGAAGAAAGAGTTTAAGAAAAACAATACTTAATGAACCAAAACATGAACAATTTTTCTCTCTTATTCTTGTTCTATTTCTGTTGTTGTCATGGCCAATTTTATTTGATATTGTTTCCATTTAAGTGTTAATTTATGACGCAAAACGGCAGAAATCCAATGCTTTGAAATAATGAACCTTTAAGGATACAAAGCATCTTGGCCTGTTACCCCCTCTTTGCTTTTAAAGTCAAATAAACATTGAACACTCTGAACCTTCTTCACGGCAACTCTTTCAAAATAATCAATTAATCAATCAATCAATGTGGGATTGCAATAAGTGAAGCACAAAACTCCTAACTAGCTAACTAGAACTTCAGAATTCACATACTAAAAGTCCTGGTCATTAAAGCACAGCGTTCAATTCTTCAAACCTTTTGTGATACAAAACAAGGCAAATAAAATTACGAAAAATTCCAAACTTTGGGCTGATTTTGAGTCGACTGTTATTGACCCTCATTACCCATATGGCAAATCCAGGGTTGCTCAACGGCAACTCCAACTGGGAACAAGCTAAAAAATAATGCTGTTACTGAAATTAGAGAGAAAAAGGAAAAAAATTCTAGAAATTCGAAGCGTTACTAACATCTGGGTCTGTCACAACCTTCTTCGTCAGCACTGCAGCGTGGTAGACCGATTTGTCTGCCAGCTTTACCGAGCAATGACTTCCCATCACCACCCCAAATAATGGATGTGACAGTATCTCCAACTGCACTTCATGCAGTGGAAACGGGTCTACGGGTCTGTCTACAAATAAGAATACTCACCATTGTTCGACAGATATCGGAGTAACGAATCATGGCATAAAATCGACTAATCGAAAAGAATATGGCTCAGTTACTTCATTGAAAGTCTCGGATTTTTCGATTCAGCGTCCGACTATGAAGAGTGGTAAAAGTTCATGCTCAGTCTGTATATCATAACAATGCCGATCAAGAATGCGAAACGTGTGCAGGAGAGGAAGCGTAGGTTGCATAGATTGACTATTGCGACGATTGCTAGCCAGTCGACAGCGGTTCCTTGACAAATCGAAGGAAGAGTGAAAAGACGGCCAAGAGATACTGTACAAGCTCTAATTACCCCCTGACAATCGTCTATGAAACACGACTTGGGAGACAAAGTACGTGCGAGTACTGTCATGTACAGTGCCACTCAGTGGCGGATTCCACAACATATCCCCCTCACTCAATTACAGACATTTTTCTACCTACTTCCCCAACAACCAGCAGTCGGAAGACATTTGTGCACAACACACGAGATAACAAAAAGCTAATTTTTTCATAGCTGCAAACTCAATAAAAAGAGAAAACCCTGCTTGCGCATAGGCTGTGACGAAACACGACGAAACAGTGTCCACTTCTAGAGCAGAAGCCTCTGCATCTGTTCGAACCCTGCCCCTGCAGAGCTATTGAGCCACCCAACGGTTGCGGTTCCCGATCGATCTGCACTATCTACTAAATGTACACGCGAAAAGTTGCTCGTCGGTTCCACGATCTGCACCAATCTAGAACTTCTGCGAGTGGCTAACGTTAAGCTCGAAGTCCCACACCTGGAAGGACCCCTCAACGAAGTCGTAGAAGCCGCCGTGGATGCTTAACTTTTTCCCGACCACCTTCTCCTTCACCCATGGGTAGGAGAGCAAGTTGGTTAAGGAGACGTTTACAGACTCCTTCTCGCAGAACTTGCACTGTTCGTCGACCTCGTCGCTGCCAGAGACAGCCTTGGTCGCGGCGCGAGCGGGCTTTCCGATCTCAAGCCAGTTCTCGATGAAATCACTGCACGCGTCATTGTTGCGATCAGTACATTGCACAAGGATTTCAACCAATTTATAAAGAAATGCGCCGAGAAAACCTTGGAAGAGATCGAATCACGGAAGGAAACAGGGTTAGTGGACTTACTGGCTACCCTGTCCTTCCTCAGTGGTAACGAGGGCCTTGATTCCTCCACAGAGCCTGTGTCCGATAACGATGATGTGCTCGACCTTGAGGTGCTTCACGGCGTACTCAAGGGCAGAGCTCACGGACGGGTATCCGCCCTTGGGTTCCCAGGCAGGCACCATGTTGGCGACGTTGCGCACCATAAAGGCTTCTCCAGGGTTGAGTCCAAAAATGGTGGCAGGGTCGACTCGGGAGTCGGAGCAAGCAATAATCATGTACTGCATTGAGCATTTCGTAGTTAAATTTTAAGATCATCACGAATCTCACAATCTCTCGGACTATCTAAGCAGAGACTGAAGGATGAACAACTCGAATTCCATAATTTGATTCAGATTGCATCTGATACCTTGGGCCATTGTCCAGTTTTCAACTTGTCAAACAGAGCGCTGTCCTTGCTGTTCATACATAGAGTAATTAACGTTAGATATAATGCGCCCAGATCGACCTACAGAGATGATTATGAGTTGTTGTCAGGTGATATAGATTGTGAAGAACAGCAGATGCTTCGACCAGAAAACAAGTGACGAAAAAGATTTAAGACGGAGGATTCATGGTATTTACTCGTAGACGTTGGACTTGAAGGTCTGGAATCCACGGCCGAGTCTGCCGATCGGTCCCTCAGCAGACTCACCGCTCAAGTAGGTCTTCTCAAGCGCGGCAATTGTCTCCTCGAGCTTCTTAGCAGCCTCAGGGTTGGACCTAACAACAGGGAAATCCTTAACAAGTCAGAAAACCGGCTTAGCTACAAGTCGAGATCAGTAGGCAATAACAAATCGTGGCACTGAATATATCTAAGTGCGTAACTGTTGATTGAAGGAAGTGCGCCAAAAATCAGAAGACACTGTCGAAAATATTCCGATTGGACGTGAGACTCACTTCACGAGGGCATCGACCTTCTGGTTCAACGAAGCAGCCATTTTGTCAGAGTCGCTAGTTGGCGTGTGAGACGGTGCTTCGGCGACGGGGACAACAGCTGGTGACTGCAAAAAAGAATGGAAATGGAGATCAAGACAGTGTAACTCCAGGCACACCTCCAAAGGCACAAAAGCAGCCTAAAATCGCTCGCGATCGAATAATGAATCTTCTAGTAGTCAACTAGAAGAATCGAGTGAAAACCGACTAGAATCATCTCAGCCAAGAAAAAACCGACTACTACAGTGCTAGCCCCATCACACGTGCCACATCTGAGATTCACTAGTAAGCCGGCGTCACCCAACCTCAGCGGGGGTGGAGCTCTTCTTACGCCCCCGGCGTGGAGTCCAGACGTTGCAACCACCCAAGCACGTGCTCATCTACACAACTCCAGGGCAGTAGAGCACACTAATGAAAGGGAAATCCAAATTTATGAAGGACTCTTCCGCATCATGACTAAAGCTGTGAGACTCACCTTGCGAGACTGCTTGCGAGAGGCTGCGACGATGAAAGATGTGAGGCCTACGCCAGTGCCTGGGGGTTAAATACTAGTTTCTCAGTCCAGCCAACCCGGATCACGAGGCCAGCATTTCCTATCATCTACCTAAGATCTGAGTAACGACGAGGCTGCAGGTGCATCCGACCTCATCGGCGTGGATGGCCTCAACTCGAAGTGGCCGTGGCATGCTTAGCATCTAAAAATAAACCACCGATGTGGGATGTTGTGCCGCCGAGTTAAAGTAACCCATTCCCCTATGCATAGCTACTGGAAGCGCACCTCTCTCCCCGTTTGTTGAACTGCAAGATAAGATCTTTGTTAACATTCCGAGAGTTAATTTATTTAGGTTTACATGGAAGTGAGGAATGAGTGCACGGTGTTTAAAATTTCTTGCTTTTGGTAGTTAACATGAAAGGAAGTTTTGTAGTGGATGATTTTTTTTTTGTTTATTTATTTTATTTTATTGCGGGATCGAAAAAGCATGTTGATGGGAATGACATTACAGTTTGTTGTTTCAACAGTTGTCATAAGATGGAGAATTTACAATCACCTGGAATCTTGTCCAAAATTATAAGGAATACACCTACTCTATTTTGGACAAGATTACAAAAATTCACTGCATATCACTTATTCATTCTCGATATCTCAGATTTAATAATTTTGAAGTATCTTTGAAAATGACATTGATACTTGCAGTAGTAACATTTTGAATCGTCCTTGAGAATTGACACAACAAAACAAAGTTTTTCTTTGAAAATAATGTAAATACGATGAATCAACTAGTTACATACACGTAATTTGAAACTTACTGCACTTTTAATTTATTTTCGAGAACAATAACTTACTTTTTCGAACAATAATACCAAAAATGCACATGGATGTTGAAGAGATAAATGACAACAATAACTTATTTTATACAAGTAATTCAAAAGAATGGTGTCCTGCGAAGGTAATACCAATTGAACACATTCAAGGCTTATTTCGATTTCCAAAATGCTTCTTCATCATACTTATCATAAAGCCACAACATCAACTCCGAAACATGGACACTCGGTGATCAGAACCGACGGATATCCCATGCGCATGTGCGCATGGCCGCGGAGCCTACGGAAACGGAACGATGAACACCGAAGCAAGCTGACGCAGCAGTTCGGCGAAGGAAACTCGCTCACGGGCTCGGCGGCATGGGATCTGCGTTGCGTGTCGTGAAAACTCGTTCACCGCCTCTTGTACGAAGCATGGCAGTGAATCAACAACTTATTTGGAGTGCACAGTTTTAGTTTTTTGAGAAGCAGTGAGACGAGGGGCTGGCTGGCTGGCGGGGATGGATCTCTCGAAGGTATAGTGAATTCAACTGAGCTCGCATTCAAGGTGTTTGCTGCCATGGCCTTCGTTCTGCCTTCAACGACGATGACCAGGCAGATCGGTCCACTTAAGCCATCTCGGGATGGATGGAGCGTTTTTGAAAAGGATAACGCGGGCAACGGCCGCCGACAACTTGCGTCACCCCATCCAGCCTCTTGCAGAGCGTCTCCACAACCTCTGGACGTGGCCGCTGTGTCGCTGCACCGGCCACCGCGACCGCGGCAAGGGGCATTCCCTCGACAAGGAGGTTGCATTCCTGCGACTTCGCATGATGCCCATGCTGCGGCGACCGGATGAGGAGGCGCCTTGGCAGCACCTTTCTTTTGGGGATTTGGCGTGATGCAGCTTCTCATTGGATGAGAATTTCAGATGACGCATTATCAAGGAATATTGGGTGGGCATCAATGTCGATTTCCCGTCGCTTCACTTTGCCTTGGTTTTCGTCCCCATATCGTGCTCAGCCATTCGCTGAGTCCTTTCATCCTAATAAATATATATATTCTTAAATTGATCATGACCAGTGCAAATAAGGGCCTTCGAAAGTGTTCATGCTTCTTCGCAGCTTCTCAATCGTGAGAACTTTATTTCTTTCATGTTCAGTTCCACCCAAGATGCTCACGATCCAGATCGATAAAGTTGAATTCATGCTATGGCATTTTATATATATGTGTGTGTGTGTGTGTGAGAGTGAAAATATATGTATATATATATATATATATATATAAAGATACAACATAGATTCTCATATAAAGCAAACGACTTCACATTCATTAAAACGTTTCTAGGCCCCTAAATCTAATCCAGTTACTTGTGTGTGCTCAAAAAGATTAAATTGAATTAAATTTTAATCAAATGAAATCAAGTTTTTTAATGCGTATCATCAGTCTGAAATAGTCGCATTCTAGCTTGATGATATCAATGTTTTGCGCACAGAGATTATATTGAATTTTAAAGGGAGAATGCCGTGCATCATGCCCAAAAAGGTGGATAAGTGGAAAAAGTTTTCAGTTTTTGGTCTTCTTTTACGTTAAACTCAAATCAACGTGGATTGCAAAGCCATAGACAATGCCTATCACAATAGTTATCTCTATTTCGAAAGTGAGCAAGGTTCATGTACCCGGACAAGGGAAATAAAGATTGATCTATCCACCTCGAGGAACCGACGCAGAGAATGAATGGCTGGTGTGGAAGAGCCTGCAGCACAGGGAAAGAAGAAGGCTAAAGAAAAACCAAAAAAACGTAATAAAAATAAAAATAAATGATCTGCCTCTGCACGGTGGTAGAGACTGGAAAAGACTATCCATCCCGAACCACACAATGCGCAGCGCAATCAGTGGCTCACACAACTCAATGCAAGACTAGAACACAGACGCACAATATCCACTGCAACCCACAATCCACCCAGGAACACACTGGTCCACAGAATTGAAGAAAAAAAGTAGCAGCAGCACCCCCATATACGCACACTCACACAAGAAGACGAACTCTAATTATCTCCATTATCTGATTGACAAAAGGGGACCCTGGTTGCTTTTACCGTGCATTCGCCATGCAAAGGGGGGCTTTTTCATGGATTTGGTCCGCTGTCCTGACAAGCTAGAAGCAGGCACTTTGTTTTTTATTGAAGGGTGCAGGCTTTGAATGCGGGAAGGGGGAAGGAAGGGGATGAGCTACCAGCTGAGAATGTGAGGCAGTGCTCCTCCTCCAGACTCTCTGTGCCCTTTTCCTCTGCCTCCCTCTCTCCTCCGCCATGCTGCACCACCAAATGAGGCTTATCAGCTTCTACATCCACTTAAAAGCAAAGCAAAACGACGCCCACAGCTCTCTCTCGCTCTAGGGCCCCTTTTGCCATTCTGGCTTCTTCACTGTGTCCACTGCGTCGTGACAAGTGTGTGACGCCGCGACGTCTCTTGCTAATCCCCCACCCCAACGTGGGTGCCATGGACGCCCCGCACCGCCTGCACCCCCTATTACTGTTTGGATGAACGTTTCCTTTTTATTGGATGATGTTACTGGATGTGGTTTGAGGATTGTGGGCTGACGTGAGCTGCCGTGGTCTTGTCTCAGGTTTTCGTACAACGTTGTGAGTGAGATAAATGAATGGGAACTTTAAAATAGAAAATGTGTGTGTGTGTGTGTGTTGGAATTAGGGTTAGGAATAGTTCATCACATGAGGCTTGTGGAGAAAAGCCCCTCGTTGTGCACACTAGGATCAAGAGTGTGTGAGCTATGAGGTTTTGGTCATGTGGGACTTAGTGTGACATGGTAACCTCATGGTTTCTACTTTGTAGAAACACGGCATAATTTTTTCTTTATTTATTTATTAGTTTAAAAGAGATTATAGTAATTATAACAATAAAAATATTAAAAAATTATGTTGGAAACCTATATAACTTCATCTTTTCAAAAACATGTCTATGTGTAGAATAAACTATTGTATGACATATAAAAATCTTGATACATGAATGTACAATGTAGTGTAACTTAAAAAAAAAGGTGTTGTTAATGCCACCAAAAACTATTACCTATTTGACATATTTCTTTAGTTATTTTATTTTATTTTATTTTAAATTCCAATTAAAAATCATGTTAAATCAAATGATTTTAAATATATTGAACAAAAGTGGCATGTGGTTTATGGAGGGATGTACAGACAATAGCAATAACTCCAATGGCATTAGCACTATTTTCACAAAATACACTACCAAACAAATTGATTGTTCAATTATTTATTTATTTATTTATTTACTTTGTTGTACACATATCAATTTTATTTGTGTTTTTGTGCTACTTTATTATTCCAAGTAAATTAAATCATTAAAATATATTTTTATTTTTTGATAGATTTTAAATTATATATATATATATATATATATATATTTGAAAAACTATTGTAATGTGATGGGAATTAATATTTTGTAGCTTTTGTGCTATAAGGAATATGTTTTTGTGTCTTTCAAGACCTTTAAATTGACAACAACATCAACTAAGTAAATACAACTACATTACAAATAAAATGAATATTCACTAATATTTATATTCTATGTAATTATAGCATATATAAATAGTTAAAGAAAATCTCAGATGTTCATATTCTTGCATCTTAAAGCAATATTTTTAAACGAGATTAGATTTTATCTTTAAGTATAATTTACAAACAAGGCCTTAAAAATAATATACGAAATTTGTCTATTTTTTTCAAAAAGAAAAAAAAAATTCATTTATAAAACTTCTAGATTCTTTATGACAATAATATTTTTAATAAAAAATTACAAATTATCCAAAACATGTATTGATGATGTATTTGATATGAATCTTCAAATAATATGATTAACGTGCATTTTTAAAAGGATTAAGTAAAAAAATTATATTCTAACTTTTGATAATTATTTAAAGCTAGGCAGAATATTTTAATATGATTTAAAAATGATATGCATGGAATTCTCACAAAATATCAGTGTCCTTATTGGTGAGTTAATTGTCCCAAATAGTCTTCAAGCTATGAAATGGAAATCTTTTACTTACAATTATTTATATATTTATTTGTTTCATATTTGAATTTTCACCACTCTAAATAAATATTATTCAAATTACAACTATTTTGTTTTTACACTAAATATGAAAAAGTAATTATGTGTCAACGACAAGAACTTGATAAAGTTAAATAAACAAGTGAGACTTTTTTCAAAGAAAGATGAAAAAATAGAAGTGATTAAATATGTATATCAATAAAAAAATTGAAATAGCTATTACCAAAAGACAAGAAAAACTAAAGACCCTTAAAACTAGACTAGAAGCAAGAAAG